TGTTGCAGCGGGGAACAAACAGGAAAAGATGTTTGTTTTTTCTTACGGGATCAGTCTGAGGGAGCTGGAGCTCTGAGTGAATAAGTAATGTACTGAAAAAAGTCCATGCTCTGACAGTGCTTTAATAAGTAATTGAACTGAACACACCACGGTGTGTGATCCCAGTGGGACCTTTTTTGTTGTTTTTTTCAGCTTTCTTTTCCTTTGGAGTTATGGCTGCCACCACAGATCACAGCAGCACAGTGAAGGGTGTGTATCTAAAGCTACAAAAAGCCAATGCAAAATTTGTTTTGTTCGTATTTCCATTACTGTCATCCCCAGCCTTCTGTATGCAGGTTAGCAGGTGGGGAGGAAAAGCATAACTGCTATAGAAAACTACAAATTTTGATTTTTCCTTATCTCAGCCACTGGCATTTTTTTCATCTAACCATTTGGATTTGGATTTTGTTGAGATCTTTGGGTTGAAATTGGCCAGCAGTTAACAGTATGACCAAGGATGATTCACAGCTGGGTACCATTCCCTCAGACACCAGGGGATCACTGTCCCACCTGGAATGTTTCCTTAGGAGCTTCACTAGAGGAGTGTGTAGTCCTGATCCTACATAGCTGGAAATTTTAGTACAGTTCACACATAAATCATAAAACACATGCACATATAAACCTCCGCCAAAGAATCTTATCTTGTTGTTACTTTATGTTCCTTTTGTGCAGGTCAAAATTAAAACGTGATGTATCAGGGAGAAAGAATTCGGGATGAAATACTTAGGCAACCAGCTTTTTTCTGAGCATGGCTCTGAAGGGTGCGAATATGACATTTTGACATCTTTAACATCTTTGACATCTTTAACAATTTAACGTGGATGCTCAGCACAGCTCCAGCCCCTGCTCACTCTCTGTGCTTTGATTACAGCTCAGATCTAGGCTCTTTGGTTAGCCTGGTCAAGTGGCTTAGCTTTCAGCCTTCAAAGCTTACACTGTGAGAATGTAAGATTTTTAGAACTTTTTCTCTTCTTCTTCCTTATCTTGGAAGCGGGTATGACCTTCTCTTTCACAAGGTTCACCTGGTTGGCTGTTTCCACTTCTGTGGGATGCCGAGAACTTCCCGTACACGATACTTACCAGAGCGAGTGCATCTCCTGCTGAAATTTGACCCCAAGACTCTTCACTTGTTTGTCCTCTCCCCTGTTGCTTCTTAGAGTTGGTTTTGACAAACAGAAGGATGCCGCTGCGCTGATCACAGCCCTCTGAGGATGTCTCGGCCATTGTGGGAACACAGTGATTTCTCAAAGTGTTCTCGGAGCACAGAACCTAAGGGGTAAGGATGAAGGAGCAGTTACTGTTGCATGTGGATTCTGCTGTGATCTCTCATTTCACATTTTGGCTAGGTTTCCTCATCTCTTGATGCTTCGCCCTGCCCATTAGGACAACTGAGGATATCACTGACTGCATATGCTTTTCTTCCTCTGAGACCTTTCTTTGGATGACAGGTATTTTTTCTGTTCTTTCTTTGTTTATATGCTGCTATCAACTCTGCTTTTATTGAGTATGCAGTGTCTTAGTACTCTGCAATGTATCCATCTGGTAATCCTCTCTTTAACTCAGCATCCAATCAATTAGAAGTCCTTGGTTACCTTCAGTGTGGGATTCATCCAACCAGTGTAGAAATCTGTCTCCTATGATATGAAGAAAGGAACACAAAGAAAAGGATTTCTTGGCTGCTGTTCATCTTATCGTATGGCAGTTGTCTGCAACAGAGTAGGTGAGTTATCTCCTGAGTGAGCTCTTTCTCCCTGCTGAGTAGAAGGGCATCTGTACAGAGAGGAGAACAGAAAAAGTCAATTTTTCACATTGTGCCAAAACTCTTGAAGACTTCACTGAAAACTGACTTCAACTTTGGAGGCAAGAGTTGTCCTCAGTGGCCATTGTACAACTAGAAATTTTTCTTGTTCCAGCATATGTCTGTTTTTTCTACCAAATCCATGTGATTGACCTCTCCTGCTCCCTTCAGATAGGACTCCTCTTGCACCTCCATGGAGATATCCAGCAGACGTGGGTCAGGAGCTTTGTTATATTTCTGCTTTTTGTCCTTTTGTTGCATGCTCTTGCTTGTGTTTATTCCTTCAGGCTGGACTCTTTCAGGCATTTGTATTGTGCCTCTAAGCTCAGTTCTCTGCTACAGAGAAAGGCAGTTCCCTTAAGACTTAGGCAAGCATTGCACAAGAAAACAAAGGCCTGTTCAACTTGCTGCTGGGAGACAATATTTACTCTCTGACTGACATGTGTGCACTCCCCTCATGAAACCTCAGCTCTGTTGCAGTACTGATGTATTGGAAGATGGAATTCTCCTTGAAAATAATCTAAACCATGTTGTATAAAAGTAGGGCTTAGGGAAACAGAGCAGAAACAGAGCTATTTCTTAGCTGAGGGCTTTTATCTTAATATAAAACACATTAGAGCAAACGAGTAAGAGGTAAAGGATTCTTACACCCTTTGCTGTCACAGCTTATGCCACCTGAGAACATCTCTTCACACTTCTGCCATTTGTTAAGATGGGACATTCTCCTGTCAGTCCTGGTGTTTTGTTAGATTCCTACCCTAGATGACTCAACTTGAGGACAGTTGCTTACAGCAGAAATACTTTTGATCAAGAAAGGCAACATTAAGAGGCAATGATACGTTTTCCCCATTTTCAGTTTCTCAGCAGAATTATTGTGGTACCTGCTGTTGTTGTTTCTTAGAAGAAATCCCTACTCCAGCAGAGGGAAAAAGAAGACTATGAAAGTAACTAATCCAGCATGCAATTTAGTCATCACAGAATTGTTTGAGTTGGAAGGGACATTTAAAGATCATCTGTCCAGCTCTTCTGCAATGTACAGGGACATCTACAACTCGATCAGACAGTTGTGTGAGCGAATAAGCAAATAAACTACATTTCAAGATTGCCCTCAGATTATTTTTTTCCTCTGAGTAACTCTTGGCTCAGGAGACATATCTGTGTTGTTTTATTTGATTCCTTCTCACCATATTTGCAGCGTGGCAGATTCTCCTCAAGGTCTTTCCACAAAGGCTTGTTTTGCTATTAGCCCAGTGAACGTAGGTTTTCCACTTTGATCTGTACTGTGTGTGGTTTTGGCATGATTCTTAAATGGACTGATTAAACAACTGTTGCTAACAGCTTCCTCTGCCTTCAGGAGTCAGCTTCCATTGTTCAGGGGCTTTCCATAGCAAAAGGGAAGAGACAGCACTGGTACAAGTGCTTACATTAAAGGCCAAAAGAAATGTCAGAAAACTCTTTTCTGTTCCTCTTGGTCCAGAAACGTTGCAGTAACTCAGTCACTAGATAGGCAGTGTTGGATTGTTCATAGCGTGAGTGTTTTGAGCAAAATGCCTGTATGCTGATGCTGAGCCAGATTGTCTAGATGAGAAATCACTGAGCTGAGACTGGCTTGGTAATTTACATCTAGTTCTGTGTTTTATATATCAAAGTCTGTGTTTTGCAGTTTACACTCTGAATCTTTAAATGAAGAAATAAATTAAATTTCTCAGATGAATGAGAATGGTGCATTTAGAGGGAGAGGGAGAGTACATTGAGACTTGGGAGCTGCTCAGGGAGGAGACCCAATACTCAAGCTCCCCTTTTCTGGCATGAAGCTTCTTTTCTTTCTAAAGTGTTCCAGACCCCCAGGAAATATGGAAACTGCTCCCTCCCTGAGCCTCCTTCAGCCTATTGAAGATGTATTGGGCAATTGGTCAAACCCATCAGGCGGTGGTGGCAGCCAGAACAGTAGAAGGTCCCATGATGTGCCATCATGCCAAGGCTGATGTCCAAGAGGCTGCTTAGTTCAGCATGGGGCAGTCTGATCAGACTGAAACCATAAATATGTCATGGCCATGGCATGGTCAGTGTTGTCCTTGATCTTTTCTTTATGCCTTTCCAGTTGAGATGAGAACATTACTTTCTGCGAGGCACTGGTGAGCCCCATCAGGTAGGACATTTGCAAACGTCCTCTCTTGTTGTCAAGACAGAATTTAAACTGGTACAGATGAGGAAAGAGGGCTGATACGTCAGTGAGGGGAATAGAAATGCTGTCCTAGGAGAGGAGACTAAAAGCTTGGCTTTGTTTGCCTAGCAAGTGGAAGCTGAGTAGTGATACCATTGCTCAGAATAAATCCTTCAGGCTGGGGGTAAAGAGCAGGAGAAGAGCTGCTCAAGCCAAAGGACAGTGTTGGCACGCAAGCAAATGACACGCACTGAATGGGAGTAAATTTAAACAGGAAATTAGGAGTGAGGTGGAGGTGCTGAAGGACCTCCTGTCCCCTGCGTGCGGTGCCAGGAACATTGAGCCACGTACTTGCAGCATGACGTGTGGCAGGGCTGTAGCACCATGTCAGAAATCCTCTGCTCACTGAGAAAGCTGCACTGAGTACTGACCTTGAGAGAAACCGTTGTTTGCCACGTGGCCAGAGCAGAGTTTCACACTTGACCTCTTTTGAATTTCCTTCTTAATTGTGTTTGATTTGTAGGAAGCAACGAGTATGGTAGGGACAAATAAATTGAAAAGTTCCAGCTCTGCTTCTTAACACTGGGACACGTAATAGCTCGATTTGCTATCGGTTTGCTGGGCTAGTCCTCTACAAGCAAGAGGAATTTGCCCCCCGGCAATTTTTCTTCGCTAGAACCCTGCAAAAGGAAGTGAGGTTTAATTAGCATTTTAAAGTGGACAGCCTTGAAGTTAATGATATTCAATAAAGAAAAATTGTTTTAACCTTATTTGCACTTTTCAATTTACTTATTAGAGGCCATCTGTTATATTTTAAGCAAGAGCACTGGGAGCTAAACTCTCAGATTGTCAAACGAGGCTAAGCAGAAGGGAAAGAGCAGGCTGCCTTAAATGAGCAATTAGACTGCTTTTCTTAAATTTCTCATTTTTGTGTCAAAAAGCAAATGGTCACCATTTCAAGCAACAGTCAAGTTGCTCTAATGACATCTATTTTTACAGGTACTCATCAGCCCTGGGAAATGTCACTTGTCCTCAGATCTCAGATGTGGCCCAAGGATGAAATTAGAAAAGCTAGAAGTGAGGTGGAGCTGTTGAGGGAGTGAAGGCTAAGAATGAGGATTTCTATAGGTAAGTCATTAGAAGAAGGAAAACATAGACTGGCATATATTGGTGTGCTGCTGAATTAGTTGGCCAACCTAGTAAAAAAAGAAGCATGGAAAGAGCGTGGTGCTCTTTGCTTTTGTCTTCATTAGCAAGGTCTGCTCTCAAGTCTCTTTCTGTCTAAGTAATGTGTGGGGAAAACAGGTACTACCCATAGAAAAGAAGATCCGTTTAGGGGCTAGTGAAGCAAAATGGCCATACACAGGTGTGTGGGGCCAGGTGGAAATGTGTGAGCGTGCTGAGGACGCTGGTTGATGTCATTCTGAGGCTACTCTATCATCTTTGAATGGCTGTGATGACAGTGAAGGTCCCTGTTGACTGGAAAGAGGCAAATGTTTCTTTCATCCTCAAATGAAAAGGAGATCCAAGGGAACTGCAAACTGTTCAGCTCCACCTCTGTCTCCAGAAAAGTTACAGAGCAAATCTTCCTGGGAGCCATTTCTGAGGACAAGAAGGAACCACTGAATATACGGACCAGATTCCCATTGACTGTCATGGCAATTTGAGTCCTAAACTTTTCTGGCTTAAGGTTGAGCTGACTCCCAGTGTATCTCCAGTGAAGTGGATTTTGCCAGCTTTCTGGGTTGAACAAAAGCCTTTGGTAAGACAAAAGCCAAACTTTGCTCTGTGTGGTCTCATAAGCCTAACTTAAATTCTGAGTGCATATAATCCCTCCTGGAAGGATGGGAAATAAAAACAAAATGTCTTCTCCAAGTCTACATAAAAACCTATGGGAGCCAGCAGAGCTGGTGCTGTGTGTCTGGATTTGACACTTAACATTCATGTATGGATGTGAGCAAACCTGCTGGATTATTAGATGTCCTGCTGTTCAGCTGAGCAGTGGCTCTGGATCCTGGTCTCTATGGGATTTGTTAGCACTGGCTGTAAGATCACCGTGCCCAAAGTGAAATGGAATAATCCCTTCTGCAAACAAACACAGAATGGGATCAATCCATGGGTCGATGGCCTGTTCCACAGGAGCAGCACCTTAAATTGCACGGGTGGAAATCCTGTGTGTCAGAGGACGTTTGAAGACTGATTCCACAAATGTTTGCAAATGTAGATCTTAGCTTCACTTCTGTGGCTTGTCACACTAAAGTTAGACTGAAGTTAAACTTCAGTCTATGAGATTCTGTGGGTTCCTAATTTGCAAGGAGCTGAACCCAGCAGCTCCTGTTAGCTTCAGGCTTGCTCTGAAATCACCTGCATTTCTGTCCTGAGAGTTACAGCAAGAGAAGGGAGGAGAAATGTAAACCAGAGCGCACTGATTCACAACAGCACTTGATCATTACAGCGAAACCCAACCAAACCAAGCCAACTATGAAGTACCTGTAGCAGTGAAATACAGCTGCCAACGATTTTGCAGTACAGAACAGTCTTTGGTACCCTTAGTTTGCTGTCAGTGCTAAAGGCAAATGTGTACATAATGAAATAGCTTTTTAAAAACCCCTGGCTTTTTTGTCTTTCCAAGCCTAAAAATGCTATTTTGTGTCGAGATCTATAGAGGGGAAAAAAAAAAAACCCACAACTTGAGGTGACTTTTGTTTTAAGGCTGTTTTAAATTTATAACGGAGCTGGCTAAAATGCTTTTCATCAAAGTACAAAAGTTTCATGCTGTAATTAATGGCAAGTGATATCTAACGCAATAAAACACCATCATTTCAGTGTTCTTACAAGACTATTTATGACTGGATATTGAAACTGATAATGATTCTGCCATTTGTCCTCATAATTTATTATTCCAAGGAGAGGCAAGTGGTGGTAAGGGTTCACGATCCGTTTTATGGAAAGAGTGCTGAATTCAGCTTTTTATGGATGTAAATGACAATGTTTGGTGCTGGGCAGAAAGTGTGTGTGTGACAGTGAGTGCAGACCCTGTTGAGGGGTCGAGGTGAGGAGCATTAATGGTCCTTCTGAGCCAGGGAAGCCCTTGGCTGTGTGATCCCATTTGCAGCTAGCTACTGGAACCAGTGCAATGAGTGGGTTGTCTCTACAGCAGTGGAGAAGGCCAGGGCAGGATTTTTCTGGAAACCTCCCACCTGATTTCTGAGCAAGATAATCTCCTGAACTATTGCTTTGGGCAGCCAACTATATATACTACATGTTTCACTATAAACAGCCCTACCCAAAGCTTGTTGAAATGAAAAGAGTTACTGGCTCTGGCAAGCCTTGCATCAGGCTGAAACAAAAGCTCTCTTCCAGAGGAAACTTCTCTTGTCCTTGCCAAGTGCCAGCCTGCATCCCTCTGGGCACAGCCCATTCCTTTTCGTAGAATCATAGAATCACAGAATCATTGAGTTTGGAAAAGACTACTAAGATCATCTAGTCCAACCATCCACCTGCCACCAGTATTGCCCACTATATCACGTTCCTCAGTGCCACGTCTTCACGGTCTGGAACACCTCCAGGGATGGTGACTCCACCACCTCCCTGGGCAGCCTGCGTCACTGCATTACTACTCCTTCTGCAAAGAAATGTTTCCTAATATCCAACCTGAACCTCCCCTGGCACAACTTGAGGCCATTACCTCTCATCCTATCGCTGGCTGAGGCTGATTTACTGAATGCTTGGGCTCTGATTCACACCTAATTCAGGCTCATAGAAACCAGGAGGAATTTCTGTAAAGTCAATATTGACACAATTAATGGAAAAGATGATTGAAGTCAGAGCCTGGGAGTTATTTTTTGGGCTTAGATGGTGCTTCATCCTCCTGGACTCCAGGACTGGGAGGTTCATGTTCCTAGACTACAGCCTTCTGGTTGTTCCCAGGCTGCTGTTCATTTGCTGCAGAATAAGGTACTGTAGGTAAAGATTTGCATTTCCATCGATAGCCCCAGCTGCAGTCTCACGAGTTCCTTGCTGCTTTGCAAATAGCTTGGAGTGAACCTGCTGCCACAGAGGCAGAGCAGGATGTGACCCATTTTCTTTGTTTTTCAAGTGCTATGGGCCCCTTCTTCAAGCCTCCAACATCCCCCTGTTTATTGTAATCAGCACGTCAAAAGGGAAGTCGTTCCTTTATTGGAGGTTATCTGTGTCAGGGGAAGTTATGTTCCCATCGCTACCTGGGGGCCCATCAGCAGATAAAGATGGAGAGCAGTGACTCAGAATGACTTTGAAGCAACACCCAGCAGCAACCGAAGACAAGAACATAACCTTAGCTGACGTTTAATATAACCCGATACACAAATAAAGCCATTCCACTAAATTATGCATCCTTTTACTCTTGGCTGTTGTTAAAGGAAGGGGACAGGGTGAGTGTTCTCTCTGTGTGTTTCTTCCTTTCCAGTGTCGGGAGCTGAGTGACAGATGCACACTGATGGAGCACAGCGCATTGATTTTTGCTGCTGCAGTACTTTATGCTCAAAGAAATACAGCTTTTAAAACGATGGAGGACCCCTATTCAGAAAAAACAGGTGAGGCAGATGGGTGATTTTCCCTGAATGCGCCTTAGTTATCTGCTTTGAGTGAAGCAGGTGCTTTGTTGACCGCATTGATGTGAGTACATTCACCAGCGGGTTTGGGTAGAAGTAAGCAATGGTTAAACAGCCATCAAGAAAAAGAAGGTAGTGGGGATATTTAAAAAAAATCTGTTTCTGATTCAATGTTTGTTTGAAACCCAGAAATAATGTGTTCACTTTTTTCCCCTAATGGCACGAACACAGACATGTGTCATTACTTGTTCACTTTTCTCTTTTCCACTCAATTCAGTTAATTCATTGCGACGAATCTATGAAAATATGAGTAGATTTTAAAGAGGACTCTTGCACCTTTAAGAAGCAATAATAGCACTTTTCAGGATATGTGCATAAATTGAGAACAATCTGTCACGTTGACGGACTCAGCTGACTCTTCTGTGAACACATGTCCACACCACCAAAAAATGGCTGTGCAACCAGCATGATAGGCAAAAGGCACCTGAAAGGTCATTAAGGGGATTTGCTAGCTGCTCTGCCCTCAGAAGTGTGCATAGATCCTGTCTCTGTCCTCATTTTTGTGTTGTAATCCATATAGCAAAAGTCCTTTTGTTTCAGGAACCAGGCAAACATCCCCAGTTTTATGTTTATTTACAGGAGATGAACTTGCTTGTGAGTTGGGTTTTGTAAAATTGGATCCAGCTTTAATCAGAGCTGAGCCAGTCCCTTGGCTTGTATTACTGTCAGCTGGTTTTCATGGGAAGCATCTGGCTGGGGCAAAGGAGCACAGGACCTAGAGGAGGCAATGGGGGCTCAGAGGTAATGCAGGAGATGCAGGGGTTTGCCTCCTGCTCAACAGTCCTTTGGTTTTGGGCTGATGGGACAAGAAAGAATGTGGAAGAAGGGATGAAGAAAGTGGATTAGGGGGTGACAGGCTTGCCCTGAGCACAGAAAAACCATTTCATAGAATATGGAACTGTTAAGATTGGAAAAGACCATTATGATCACCAAGTCCAACCCCAACCCACCCACACCATGCCCTCAGTGACACGTCTCCATGGTTCTTGAACCACTCTAGGGATGGTGATTCTGCCACCTCCTTGGAGCAGCCTGTTCCAATGCCTCACCACCCTTTCCGAGATTTATTTTTTCCTAATATCCAATCTGAACCTCCCCTAGCTCAATTTAAAGTCATTACATCTTGTCTTATTTACCTGCGGGCGATAGGAACCTCCAACAAAAACACCAATGATGATGGGATGAGGAGGGATGTCCTTCAAAGCTTGGTTAGATGCCAGCTCCCCACGTCTGACAGGAGCTCTCACATTAATGTTTGCAGTACCAGGAGCAATATTTACCCTCATCAGGGCTTGGCTCTGTTCTGTCCCAAGGGCTTGCAGAGGTGGCAGTCACCTGCACCTTCCCTGGCACTGGTGATCAGGCTACCACCCATAATCCTAAGGCTGCATGAGCTGAGCCCAAACCAATTTAGTTTGTGAAGATGTGGAAAAGAAGGAGATTTTGTTGTGTAATGTTTGCAGTCAAGGTTCTGGGGAGGGGAATATGGTCTCTGGATCAGAGGATCTCATCTCTTGCTTGGCTCTGTGCTGACTCCTCAGCTTCAGTGTCACAGAATCATAGAATCGTTTGAGTTGGAAGGGACCCCTGAAGGCCATCTAGTCCAACTGTGCATTGAACAGGGACACCCCCAGCTCCATCAGGTGCTCAGAGCCACATCTAGCCTGACTCCAATGGCTCCAGGGATGGGGCATCCACCACATCTCAGTGTGAAACGTCAGCCTGAAAAATACATGGGAGCCTATTCACCATTTACACAACAGTGCTGGGCAGAGGACACAGCATGCATTATCCAAAAGTTCACGGTGAAGGTGATCAGGAAGGGAAGAAACTTCCGATGCCTTGCGACCCAAGCTGTAAAAAGGGAAACATTCGTGGGAGGCTGTTGCTGCTGGGGAGCAGCGGGTGGCAATTGAATGGGGCTGAGCTGTGGGCACCCACAGTCTGTGCTGCGGGGAGAAGCGCCGGGCAGGGCGGTGGGTGCGGGGGGAGCAGCGCTTCTCAGTGCATCTCGCTAGAGGGTGCCCGCTCGCTGCGCTTGCAGCAGCACAACGAGCCCCTGCCCAGGCTTGGAGGTTTTGGGCTCCGAGGATCCTTGCCGGCTCGTTCCGTCCTCTTTTCATTGCCCGAAATCGGTTGCGGTGTCTTTTTCACGGTGCCTTTGGGTGTTACCTTGAGAGTTGGTGGTGCACAAGGAGCAAATTGGGTTGATTGCAGGCAGTTCGTTGTTCTGTGTTCAGGAAGCATCCCTCGTCTTGGATAGGGTTCCCAGATGATGATGGCAGCTGCCTCCAGCCCTCCCTCTGTTCCCCAGTGTTCCATTTGGGGTTATCCCCCATGCCTTGGTGGGCTTATGTGCCTCCCTTGTCCCCTTTCCCATCAGTACAGTGCAGGAGGGGACTTCACAGGGATGTTGCTCCCATTGCTGGCTCTTGATCCCAAGAATCGTGAACAAACATCTTCTGTGTGTTGTTGCTGTCGTGCCAAGGGCAGGAGATGTGTCCTCCCCTCTGGACTTTTTCCTTGCTTCTCTCAGATCATTGCTTTTCAGATTATTATCTGAATTCCCCTCTTGACTGGGGCCCACAATGGAGGTCACAAAGACATTCTCCACCATTCAAAATCATATCCTCAGTTCACACTTCAATGAAAACATTGGCCAGACCCAGATCTGAGGCAAGCCTACATGTCTGGGAGTGAGCTATTGCCAACTACTTGGTATGTTATCTTTCTATCACATCCTTTCCTCCTTAGTTGTTCCTACTGGAGAGAGTTGTGCTTTCTGGGCTCAAAGCATGCAACAGCAAATTCACCAGTGTCCATGGATCTGCCCATGGACACTACTGTTACCATCCTGGCAGGGTTTAGGGCAACTTCTCTGAAGGAACTATAATTAATTAAGAAACAGCTTTTCCTTCCAAACAGACTGGTGAGTATGTGGAACACACCAGACTCTTCCATGTTAACTGGAAGCCCTTTCCTTGGAAAGGTGGCACTGATGATGGTGCTGTTGATCCCTTTAGATTCCAATTGTCTCCTAATGTAAGACACAGTTTGAAAGAGTAGGGGGAGTATACATGAAGGATGGGAAAGAATAACTATAAAGTCCAAATCCCTCAAATTGTAATGCTGCTCATGCACAAACACTCCCTCCAATACCAAACAGAGCTTTTACCTCCAAAAAGGGATTCCCACTCCTTTAGATCTGTAGTAATAGTAGAGCTTGGCTATAGCAGCAGTGAGTAATGAGTTACTGAGTAGGTATAGCTGTGTCATGGTAAATCAGAAACTATCTGGTTCCAAATACCAGTGGGATAAAGGCTTCCTCAGCAGCAGAATGCCTCCAGCTCTTCCCCTGCCCACCACAGAATCATTATGGTTGGAGACGACCTCAAAGCTCGTTTAGTCCAACCATCCAAGTACCACCAAAATTGTCCACTGACCCGTGTCCCTCAGTACCACTCCTCCACATTTCTTGAAGGGGATGGTGACTCTACCACCTCCCTGGACAGGGTGCACAGGTCTGGTGATTGTTTTCCTCCTTCATCCTGTTGCTGTCACTCCTGGAACCAGACCTCAATCTGTATTGTCTCTTTCTCACTCATCCCTATGCAGATCAGGGTGGCAACATCCCATCCCTGTTCACTGCAGGGAGTTGGACTAGATGACCTTTATGGGTCCCTTCCAACTCAAACAGTTCTATGATCTGACAAAGGACAGAGAACATGGGAAGTCAGTTGGGAAGCTGGATGGCCCGTGGAAATTTTCCCTTCTTTTACACAAAGTTGCTTGTGCTTGAGCTGTGTGGCTGCTGAGTGAATGTAGCACAACGATGCTCTGCTCTCTGATTTGGTATATTTTCCTTCAGGGTGTTCTCCTTTCTGAATGGAGAGCTCACCATTGGAAAAAAACCAATCTCTTGCATCTTCTCTCTTGCATTTTTGTCCTTCCCTCCAACCTTACCAAAGTTTGCAAGCTCACATTTAAAATACAAAGGAGAGCAAAGGGGGAGTGTGCCTTATTTTTGGCAGGCACTGCAGTTGTTAATGAAGAGTGACATTTTCCGAGGTTATGGCAGAACAAGCAGAAGTCCAGCTCTCCATCCAGAAGAGTGCAAACTGTTGTGTGGCCGAGGCTTTGAAATAAGTTATTCTTATTGTGATTCTTGTTTATAACATCAGATTCATTGTTTGCAATTTTGTTCGGTGGCATCCAATCAATAGCAGACAATAAAATATTATTTCGAGTGGCGTAGACGTTCCACGAGAATGTGATTGATTGCTTTAATTTCTGCCTTCCTCAGTGTTTTTACTAAACCTTGTCTTGATTTCTTTCCTCCTGCCTAGCTCTCTTCAGCATCAGTTGTTAAATAAAGTGACATATTTATTATACGAGTTTTATTTGACAGATTGCCGGGTGACATATTTTAGATTAATTTTTTCATTTGAAGATGTATGTAAATGTGCATGTGAAATTATATATGTGTACACACACACACACACAAATACAACTGTATAAATACAGCGTGTGCATCATCATGCTCAAGGCCAAAATCTCCAAGCACAACTTGAGATTTTAGGTGCAGTTCTTAGGTGTTTGACACCCCTTCAACGAGCCCAAACTCCATTTCCAGAAGGTGTGTGACCATGCAGTTAAGGTGAGCGTGTGTTTTATGACATTCCCAACACTCTGATAAAGTTTATCATCTCTTCAGTTGGGCAGCAGTAATGTATTCACTCTTGGTTTCCCCATGTCAACCAGGTTAACTTAACAGCCCACCATTGAGAACAGTTATATTAAAACAAGTCCTGAAGGTGGCTTGAATGTGTATTTTTTTTTTTACAGCGTTATGTCCAAAATGTTCTTTTTGAAAAAAGGAAAACCAACAAGGAGAGCAAAAAGGAATTTGTTGGGACTCTTTCTAATAATGCTCAGCCCCTCGTGGAACACCTTTCTTTCTGTGAGTCAGGTGCACATGGAGATTAAAGTCCAGCTCTTTTCATGGGCCGTGGGATTTAGTGCACCTCCTAAATTGTGGCCTAAATGAGCTGTTTCTCCCCATAAATACTGCATGACTCTAAGTTAGGTGCCCTGGGATTTAATGGCCAGTCCCAGAAATAAAGGATCTGAAGGAGAAGGCTCTGGGGAGATCTCATCGTGGCCTTTTAGTACTTGAGGGGAGCTTATAAGCAGGAGGTGGACTGAATTTTTATACAGAATGATAGCGATAGGATAAGGAGGAATGGCTTTAAACTAAAAGAGGGGAAATTTAGGTTAGATGTTAAGTGGAAATTCTTTACTCAGAGAGCAGTGAGGCCCTGGCACTGCTGCCCCATTCCTGGAGGTGCACTGGGCCAGGCTGAATGGGGCTATGGGCAGCGTGAGCTGGGGGGGGCAACCAGCCCTATGACAGGATGGGCCTTAAGGTCCCTTCTAACCCAAGCCATTCTATGATTCTATAATTCTGTGAAGTCATAGAATAGACGGCAACTGCTTCCAGCTTTGAGATATTGGGCTGTAAATCCTAGTCTTGGTAGCGGACTGAACATTGCTTCATGATGTGCCCAGTGTGCTCTGGATAAGGAATTTCAGAGCTGAAGAACAGCTGGGCGCTGTGAAACATCCATTCTTGATCCCCAGACGGCGACTTCTTTTTTGTACTAATCTGAATTTTTCATTTAAAATGGAAATTATCTGAACTTGCTTAGCAATGTAAGATGTTCTCATAGCAGAGAAGCATTAAAGACTACCCAGGCTCTGAACTGCGTGCTGAAAATAGAGTACATTTGTGTTTATTTTCTAATCCTTTCAAAATGTTGTTGGGGTAGGGCTTAAGCTCAGCCACGTCCCTTTTCATGAACATAGCTTGTTGTCTCTGAGCTTAAAGAACACAACCAACAAACAACCAACAAATAAATCCTATTACTCCAAAATATGATTAGTGTTCTGGTTGGAGTTATAAATCACCTTCATTTAAAATGCACTGTTGCTACAAGTTAGGATTTGAAAGTACAATCATGCAAATGCCATTTGCAATGTTTTCACTCTAGTAACCTTGGCAATACGGCAAACACCTTTCCTGTTTGATACATACAGTTTTGGAATTTCAATTGTAATGCAGAGAGGGAAGCTGCCAATTCGTGCCACTTCTTGAGGGGAAGAGGTCATTTCTGGGGCAAAATTTGGCTGCCGCTGGAGCCATGCCTTTTAAGTCCACTGGATTCTGGTGCTTTGTTTTATGTTGTTTTACACTGGTTATATCCAGCTTTACAATATTTAAGCCCTTCTTATAAATCAAAATCACGGAGCATAAATATTTATCAGCAAAAGAAATAAGCTGCACAGTAGACAAGCTCAGGAATAGAAAAAGCCAAGTATTGCTTATAAAGGCAAAAACAGCGAGTTACGTTTTCACCCTGTCAAAAGTTAACGTGTAAAAGCAGTCACAGACGCAAGCACCTTAATTCCCTCTCCATTTGATATTAAACACCCCAGATCAGTGTGGATATTCATGCTGCAACTTTGGGGTTGGTACAGGGAAAGAGTAGGGCTTCCCTTGGTCACTTCTCCTTCCTGCTTAGCAGGCACACAGCCCTGCAAACAGCAACGACCCAGTGCTGCTCGACCTGCCAATGTCTGCTGGTGCTTCCTGTTAGTGGAGCTGGAGTTGTAGATCAGCTTTGACCACTGCAGTGTTGCTACCTGCCTGGTGGGGTGAAAGGGATGCTTTGGAAGAGGCATCTCATTGTGAATGTGGTAGAGCCAGAATTTCTGCTTGTGGGTGGAAGAAGCCTACAACCTCATGAGATGTAATGAGAAACTGACCTTCATTAGTCTTTGTCCTCCCACTAAAAAGTTGCTCTGACGTTTTCTCACACAGGAGGCTCCTCAGCAATGTTGATTTTCCAATGGCAGCCACTCTAAGAAATTCCTGTTCCCACCTTCCTCAAGCCACGGCTTTCTGCTCCTGGATGTCAGCCCTGTTCTTTGAGCTGGGCACACCTGAACCTGCTGTATTTCAGAAGGTGAGTGAGATGGCAGCACGTCAGCAACTAGAATCACAGAATCTTTAAGGTTGGAACTAAGATCACCAAGTCCAACCACCAACCCATCCCCACCATGCCCACAACCATGTCCCTCAGTGCCACATCTCCACGCTTCTTGAATACCTCCAGGGACAGTAACTCCACCACCTCCCTGTGCCAGTGCATTGCCACTCTTTCAGAGAATAAGTTTTTCCTAATATCCAACCTGTTGCTTTCCTCTTGGGTCCTCAAATGTTGGAGGCAGGGATCAGCTATATGTCGTTGCTCTTGAGGTCCATCAAAACCTTTTCAGAAGGAAAAGCTCTGGCAGTTGTTATCACGAACAGCAAGCAGAAAAGTTTGAAAGGTTAAGTACAGTGTAAGTTATATAAATGCATTAAGTTGCCTGAAGAGGTTGTGGAGTTTGCTCCTTGGAGATTTCCAGAGATGTGGGTTTGCCTGGACATGGGTCTGGGCACCTTGCTCTGAATGACCCTGTTGGAGCAGAGGTTAGAGAGATGGACCCAGAGCTGACTTCTGATCTCAACCATTCAGTACGTACAGAAATGGAGAGTTAGTGACTGGCTGAGTGCCGGGATGCACCTGCCTGGCCACTTCCCCTGTCCCCATATTCTTCCCCATGTGATCACGATAGGAGGGATCCCCTGGCTTCAGCCTGTTGTGGTTCATGCATGGGTTGAGAGAGCTTTGAAGGCAGAAGCAGGATGTCAGGAATTCCTCTGATTTCTGAGAGCAAAGGGCTCTCATCATTCCCGTAGGAACAGAACTCTGTCACGATGAGGCACCCCACTTTTCTGCAGTGCTCACTTCCTACAGAAAGATTTTACTTTGAAATGAAACACCTTTCCTGTGCCTTTTCAGCATGGGTAGCTAGCATGAACATGAAAGCAGCCATGGGCTGGGTGCTGGGGCTGTATAGGGGCCCCTCTGCCTCTGCAAGGGCTCTTTGTGTGACCGCTTTGTTTGGCACTGCCTTTTCAGACAGGCATTTTTCAACCCTCAGCATTGTTCAGCTTCTACAGCAGAGTCAAATGTTAATCGGTGTGTTGTAGTAAAATGTTTTATGGGACAATTTAGCTTGAGCTGTACCCTCTCCCTTTCCATTGTTTTTTTCTCAAGAAGCACAAGAGGCTGTGCGATGCTGTTTGCCAGGTGTGAGCTCTTCTGACCGCTCGCCATCCTTTCAAGCAGGGAATGCATTTAGAGTGCTAAAGTTGGAACTGGTGTTTCTCCTGTCTGTGGCATGTGGATGATCCTGTTTGCATCTGTTGGCTTTGGGTGGCAATCATTGCACCCCACACATATACCCAAGTGTGACACCCATCCCCAAGGACAAGGGCCATGCTCAGGGATCTTGTCCAAAGGGGATCATGTTTTTTGCCCATCTCCTCAAGAAACCCATCCCATGTCCAACCTTCCTTGTCACAAGTGGCACAGTGTTGAACGCGATTCCCTTTGAAAATAAATTTCTGCATCACAAAGATGAAACTGTTCTGTTTGTTTTGGACAAGTGTGTTCTGAGAAGACTAACTCAAGTCAGAGGTAAGGATGCTGCTCGTACCTCAGCTGATCTCAACAGCCATCTGAAAACCCCACCAGAGGTATAAAGACACAGCTGCAAACCAAGATGTTATTTGGACACTCTTCTCTTTGGGAAAATTCCATAAAATTAAATAGTGATAGGAGCAGGAGAATACTTGAAGTATTGAATATGCTGCTATGTGTTTTTTTTTCCCCATACACTGTAGAATTTTGTGCAGATCAAGATCATTTATATGAATGTCTTTAACACTTTATTTTCTATTCCATTTTGTTAGCAGGATCTGAAACAGAAGACATAAGTGGCCATTACAATATGTACAGCATCCTCCTAAGGATTTTGTCTCTGAGATCCACAAAAGAAGTGTGTTCTTCATCAGCTAAGGCTGTCCCTTTTTAGTATTTCCATTCTCTCCTAATCCCTCCCATTGTTGGAGATCTTCATCCAGCTGCAAAGATAATCCTTCCACTTGGAGGCCTAGGCTCCAAAATTCACCCTCTGCACAGAATTTCCCAGTCTTGATTTAATGTTTTGGATTTTGCTCAAATAAGAGGCATGGCAGTGTTGAAACAAGAATATACAAATGCATCTTGTCTTGTGTTGGTAATGTGGAAGCATTTCAAATCATGAAATTCTGCAGGAAAAAGGGCTGGATGGGAAATTTCCATGCATGCTGGAAATAGGCATAGTAAAAAGCTGGGCTGTTTTCTACTCTGATTCTCAAAGGACCTGGATCTGTTCAGGGATTTCTCTTTTTTTTTTTTCCTCCTCATTTCCCAAATGTTTAGTTTTTCTGCTTTCTTCTTTTGGCCTTCACCTGTTTGATCTTGTGGGAACAGTCATTAAAGACTGAGGAGGCCCATCAGTGAATAATTGTTAGCACCCTGTAATTAGTTGAACTAATCAGAGGTGGTTAATTGTGATGGGAAAATAAGTGTAGAAGGACCACCACTGTGGTTTGCAGGCTGGGGATGAAGCTGCTGAGGTGACTGCTGGCAGACAGTGAATGACAGATACTTGAACTTGGGTTCTCTTCCAAGAAATTAGGTGACTCTTGGTTTTGTAGCCCTATATCTAGGCACCTCCAATCCCTGAGCCACAGTTAAGCTGCGTTAATTCCAGGTTTTGTTACCTCACCATGACTTACTCCTTTATCCAACTTGGATTGCGATGTGCCTTAGATAGAAAAGCTTTGTTGCTGTCTTCTCTTGCCTCTTGTTTATAGAAGAAGGTGTGATCTGGAATGAGGGATTTGACTACTCTGGTACTTGAGGGGAATCTCTACAACCTTCTGCCCTCTGGGTTGCTCTGGTTTACCAAAATATACTGTTTGGGGTGTATTTTGTGATCCTGACTCAAGTGAGATAAGAAAGTTTTGACGTGTCTTTTCAGCTGTGAGATATTCAGTCAAAACTCCTACATCAAGCAGTGATTGGGGTTACACACCTAAGAGGCAAGGGTAGATCCTACACAGAACGTGGCTGGGAAAACACCAAAATGCCATTGTTTTTTTCTTTCTCTTCCTTTACATCTTACAGAGTGTTCCTGTCGTCCTGCCATTTTGGAAGAACCACATCCCTGCCTTCTTTTGCAGAGCTCACCTATTTGTGCTTCCTTGGGTACATGCCTTAAGTTGAAATGATCGTTGTGTTCTGCTTTCCTCATATTCTGACCAAACCTCTAGACTATGGCTTGGATGAGCCACTTGTGCCAGCTTTTATTGTTTGTTGACAAGAGTCCTGATTTGCCTTTCCTTTTCATAACTGATGGATGTGAATGATATGCCCTTTTTATTTTCTCTTAAGGAAGGATCATCACTTGGATGAGAGCTCCTGTGTTGTTCTGTTCAGAGCTTGTGTAGAAATTTATGGAAGGATGGTAGGAAGTTTGTGGAAACTATGTTGGGTGGTGGAATTTTTGGCCAGGGAGAAATATCCCTACTTAAAATACCTGAAGTGGGGATGAGTTGAGTGGCCACCTCAGAAAAGAGAAACTGAAGTTGCATCACTACTGTAGATTGAGGTGCTTACAGTTTGATGGATGTTGTAGATCAACTGTTCTTCTCCTCTTGCACCTTTCTCACATCATATGAGTATCTCAATAACCATTGAGCAGGGAGAAGGTAGAAAAGAACTTTCATTCTTTTCCCTCCTCTCCTTCCTTGTTCTTTCTCCCCACTGAATGTCTGCAAGACCATGAGGTTACAGCTTTGCAAAACCAGCTTTTGAAATGTCCTGAACTGATAACCATTTCCTACCCAGCCCCACCCCTCCTGGGAGGGCTTGAGCTGCCGCAGGGGGTTTGCAGGACGTGGGTACCTCTGTGTATCCAAGCCTGCTTCTCACAAAGCAACATTTCTTTTCCTCTGACACTGTTTTTATGTCACAGTGATCATTTTTCATTTTTAAAGACTGTCAATGCATTCCCTCCAACTATCGGCTTGCCACTCCTTTCATGTGATGTATTGGGGACCCTTTGGGGACTTCTGTGAATACCAGAGATTACCTTCAAAGAAACTATGTTTTTCCTGTTTTACCTGCTGGCTCTCATCACTTGTTCTTCAACCTAAAAAAACCCCTAACCCCATGAGAAGGAAACCAGACAGTGTTACACCATCAGGATAAGATGCTAACCGTACCTTGTGCTGCCAAGCCTGCAAAGCACGAATTCAATCCCAATTTAAAGTTGTTTTTAAACACTTAGGCTGCCTGCTCAGCTCACAGAAAATCTCGTTTGTCTGGTTTACACGTCTCATGGTATTTGTTCCACTTTATCTTGCAGTGTCCTCTTGTCTGTCTGCTCTTGGCAAGAGAAGCTGCCGCTTCATAAGCATTAGAGATGGGCTTCTCACACTGTAGACTTATAAATAATAATAAAAACCAATAACTGTTCATACTGTAAATGCAAGTTAAGAAACAGCTGTATCTGGAAGAAGTATTCATATTTTATGAGAATCTCTGTGCAGCCATCGAGGCACACACATAGCTGTGCTGAACAGGTGAACAAATAGAAATTTAAGCTACAAATACTGCTTCCTAAACAGGAGTAGAGGCCCACTTGTTTTTCCAAAATCGTTCTGGTTTTGAACATAGAGAGAGGCATGGAGCTCAGAAGAGTGCATGCGGGAATGCAGGTGTGTCTTCAGGCTGGATATCAGGGAAAGGTTCTTCACCATGAGGGCAGTGGACATGAAGAGTGTCCCCAGGGCAGCAGGCACAGCCCTGAGCTGTTGGAGTTCAAGAAACATTTGGACAGCTTTCTCAGATATATGATCTGATTTTTTGAGTGGTCCTCTGTGGAACCAGGAGTTGAACACAGTGATCCTTATGCGCTGCTTCAAACTCAGGATATTCTGTGATTATGTTCTTCTCAGTGAATCTTAACAGAGTTATTTTCCTCATAAACGTGGTGTTATACACAATCAAAAGACGTTAAAAGC